CGCCACATCCTTGGTCTTGGGGGTCGAGCAGCAAACGGCAGCAGGACCCCCCCCCAAACCTCCAGCTGACCCTCCATCCGTCATTCCCTGGTTTTCCTTCTCCTCTCCTGTTTAAAACGGGATCGAAAGCCTCAATCTCGGGTTGCCGGGGGGAGGGGGGGGAATACGATTTCATTTCCGAACTGTAAAAGCTCCTCTCCCGCCGGGTTAAAATGATGGAACAGCTGGGAAGGGATCGAGGGGGAAGAGGGAGGAGGGGTCGGTCCGTCTTTTCTCCCTCCCCACCTCGGCCGAGATAAAACCAGGCGAAACTTTGTCTTCCCATCAAAATACTTAGCAATAATACGGATCGATTTCTATATACATGAAGTGGTGACCTCCCGCTCAAGTTCTCAGAGCAGGACTGGATGGGAAGAGGGGTAGAAAGAGGGGGGGGGGAAAGCGTCCCTGGTTGTGTCCCGGAGCTGCTTTGCCCTCGGATGCCTGGGCAGGTTTGAGCCTTGGCTGGGTTCGGAGCAGACTTTGGATGTGACTGGTCCCAGGAGCTCGGCTCAATCCGGATTTCTGTCTCAGCACTCGCTAACAGCAAGAGACTGGAAGTCAGGACCGATTTTTTCCAGCTGGGTTACACGGGTCAGCTCCCATGCAGCCTCCCTGTCTGAGAAACGGAGACAAAACAGCTCTGGAGGAGTGGAAAGGCTCGGCCAAAACAGCTCGGGGCAATTTAGCACCCGATTAGCAGCAGGGGCTCGGGACTCAGTCACTCCTGGCAGGGCTGCTCCCTCCCCAGGAGATGGATGTGCCCCAGGGAGGACAACGGGGCTGTTCTCGGCAGCCTCTTGCAGCCCGGGGTGCTCGGGATCCTGGTTTTCTGGGCAACAGGCAAAGGCAACGACCCCCGGTGAGGTCTCGGAGCTGCTGGCAGCTCTCCAGCCCTGCTCTTTCCAAGGAGACCTGTGTCCCATCTGGAGGTGGAAGAGAGGGAGCTCTGGAGCCCACAGCGATACTTCAAGGTGGTTGATTTCCCATTTGCTTCTCTTCGGGCAGCTGAGCTGCTCCTTATCCCTGAAAATATATTCAGGAATGACTCATCCTGTCTGCCAGGGCTCTAACCTGCAGTAATGAGATGTAAATCCTTGCATGACCTATTATATTAGCTTATGCTATATCACACATCTCTGTGGATTAGACGGGCGGGAGATGAAACGTCCCCCAGCCCCAGACAAGCTGGTGAAGTTAAGAGGATCTTCTCTCAGCACTGACACCTGGTTTGATTTGCCACGGGGAAGGGCAGCGTTTCAGCTCTTTTTTTCCCCAGATACCTGGCTCCAAAGCCACACCTGGAAGGTTTCCCCTCAACCAGGGGTTCCTAGGATGCTCCAGAGGGCCCTGAAAGGATTTCCTGGGAGGGGGGCGGGTGCTTGGAGGGGAG